TGCCCGAAAATGTGTTACTGTTATTATATCTCGTAACCTCCTGATTTCCCAAAAAAAAGTTTGATGTGTTTTTTTTAAAGTCTTAGTTAAAATGAAAAAGACGATAGACTCTACAAGAGATTGAAATAGATTCAAATTTTCATTTCTGCAAATATATCAGTAAGAAAGTTGTCATTTCTATGAGTCACAAAAATTTTGTTCGTCTCGTTGTTTTTAAAGAAAATCTTATTACTACAAATACCAATTAAGCTCAAATGTGCAACTCATAAAAGCTCAGTTTATATACGAAAATGATGAGAATTTGAATATTTATATTCGAGATTTTATGAATTTGACTTATAGAAATATAAACATGGTCGTGCGTTACAGAATTCCACTTTTTCGTATTGCAATACCTTTAGCTTATCAAAAATAAGAGCGAACTTGCTGAAATTTTTTTCATAGGTAGAGATGTCTAAGACCTACTACCAATAAAATTTTCATCTATTTCTGTCTAGCCATAGCTGAGTTATTCAACAGATATTGACTGTTATGGAATTTCAAAAAATGGAAATTTTTTTTAGAGTGATCTGGAAGTTAGGCATTTTACTAAATAACAAAATGACCAACAAATAAACGCTCTATATAAATATTACTCAGTTTTCCATGAGCTTTCAAAATTTAAATTAATTTCCTAGAAAGCATAACTGCAACAAACAAAAAAAAACCGTAACTACTGTCCATTACAGAATTTCACTATTTTTTGACTTTCTAACCGGGACAGTTGAAGATCTCAAAGCTTTCAATTAAGACGATAAAAATTGATCCTTTTTCATACCCGTGAATAGTATAGAGATAGTTCTATTATATACGTGTGTTAGTTTCATCTTCAAAGTAAAATGACATTAAAATTTTGTCTGTTTTCTATGCAAAAATGAAATATAATGGGTCTCAAAAAGAATTGTTTTTGATGAAATTCGTCAAAAACTTCCTTTTCAGACATTTCTCGGAGGGAAAATACGGTGTATATAGCTAATGAACAATGTAGCTCAAAGGTTGCAACGTGTTTCAGAATCTGTCGGCAGTGGACTTTTGGATTTAGAGAGTTTTCTTTATTTTCAGTGACTATAAACCTTTCCCATGTTAGGGTGACCGATGCGCTGCCATGCCAAGAATAAGAGTGTAGATATATATATAAATCTTTCCTCAATTAACACCGTCATCCACACACAGATATTATATGTGTAACAAACAAAGAATATTTTTTTTAGTCTTTTCGAGTTTCTAAGAAGGCAGCAGTTGTCCCAAAGGAGAGTAGTATACTAATTTAGAATTACTTAAAATTATTTTTTTTTTATTGCTTACCTTTTTTTAGTAGTTGTCGCTAGCGAGAAGTGCATCAGTCAATGAATCAAAGAAACACTTTTAATGAAAATCTGACATACAGTGTAATCGTACACTATGTTTTCTAGAACACTATGTATCTGTACACTTTGTTTTTTTTGCGGCAAAGTGCACAGGATGTACAGGAAAAGTGAAATATTTTTCATTTTAATGAAGACAGGATTATCTGAGAAAACAAACGAAAATGAAATGTTCTAAAATCGTAAAAATAAACTGACTGAATGAAAAAGCTCAACTTATACTTTCATGAAACTCCACATACCCTCGGAAAGGCAAAAGTTAGACACTGTATTTTGGGTATATCGTTACTATAACTACATATTTTGAAATCATATTTGGAAAGCGCGTGAAATTCTCTACTACCCTATATATTTGTATTTTAATTTTTGCTTTTGAATGATCAACATAAATTAGATATAATGAAGACAACCTCATATGTAGATTTCCACAGAGATGATTTTGTTTCTGTAACGAAATTAAGTTTTTTCGATTTTGCATCGCCATAGAATGATTGTTTTGATGAAAAAGTAATTATTTATTCTAATAGCACTTGAAATGCTCTATCCTTTCATATATTTCTTTGTTCTCTTGCACTAATGTACTATCCAAATAATATAAGAACAATCAAATCTTTTCAATTGACTATTTCGAAAAACTTCACAACTTTTTTTATTATTGTTTTCTTGATTTTCTCTCTCCAATTTAGCATTGATCAACAAGGATGTTTCCATATTACTTGGTTTATTTTTCAACAGATATAGATAGGATAAAATGAAAATAAATAGGGTGATAGAGAATTTGAAGCTTTATCAGAAAGCATACTCATTTCTATAAAACAATTCTCTTTGTAGTTGTAGTTCGAAAAAACATGCCCTATCCATGAGTTTTCGAAATAGTCAATTGAAAAGACTTCATTGTTTTTATATTATTTGGATCAGAGATGGACGAGCCGCGGTGTAAAACAGCCGCGTCCCGTCCCACCGGCGGGGCGGTGCTAAAACTTGACGGGACGGAGCGGTGACGGTGAATGACGAAATTTCGCGGTTTCCCCGCCTTTGTATAACCTTGATTTCTTAAATATACTCAGACCTTTAGAGACATCTTTCAACAATTTAAGAATTTTTTCACACTAAACTAATCACTAAAAAGAACTTGTTAGCGCAGCTCCAGAGGAGCTAAAACGTGGAACTCACATATGTTTCTTTTATTTTTTGTCCTGATGCCTAATTTTTAAATTGTAAAATACCTTTTTTCCGAGTACGTGTGAAATCATTGATATATTATATAAAAACTAGAGCCTTTTATGCGCTATTGCTGAGATCTGTCATGGTGGGGGTCAGGGTTGCCAGATTGAAAGTTAAAATACCAGAAAAATTTTTCTAAAAATCGGGAAAATATCGGAATATTTGTTCTCAAAATCGGAAGAAAATCAGAAAGTATTTTTCCATGCTTAAATAACTACTCTATATATTTTCGATAGCTTCAATATCCTTTATCTTGCTTCTGTTCATCTTTTCGAAGCAATATCGGAAATGACATTTCATAAAGAATTAAAGAAAATACCGATTACACAATTTACTCATGATTAAGAAATCTACATAAGTCATTTGAACAGGATCACATTATTTTTATCAAAAATGCTATAACCAACTTGACGAAACAATAGAATCAGCATTGTAAGTTTATACACACACATGCATTTCACAAAACTTGTGCAAAAGAAACTAAGACTTATTCTGTATACTGTTCGTTTTTGTTCATACTTTTTATTAGGTTCGAATACTCTTCAAAATATTAGGTTGAGGTCACAGATATTCACAAAAATGTCCACAAGAATAAACAGAATTCATTTCGATTTTCAATTCTGCAACAGCTAAATTAGTACCCATACGATTATGATTAGTTTTATTATATCTGTGATTAAACAAAAAAGCTCAAAAACGAAAATATTCTTAGTTATCAGCATAGTAAACGGACAGAGAAAGTTAGTTCATCGTGATAGAAAACTAGATCTTAATTGTCTGTAAAACATCATAGTTTCATTGGAGGATATGCTTTCAAATCACTGCAGTGTGTTGTGTTGAGTTCATGACGCTTCACTGCCCGATAATTATGTTGAAATAGATCGCAATATATGTGTGATATCGCGTCATGGTTAAATTATTTTGAAATGTCCTAAGAACTTGAATTCACAAACATGGCTTCGAAAACTGGAGGAAAATTAGAAAATCTGAAGACAATCGGAAAAATGTGTTAAAATTGGAAAAATCGGAACGCCAGAAAGTCGTTCGAGAAACTTTCAAAAAATCGGAATTCTTCCTGCCGTATTGGAAGATCTGGCAACCCTCAGTGGAGTGTCTGTAATGGAATGGAAGAAGGGGAAGAGTTGCTAAACCTCGAACTTAAAACTTGCAATCACTATTTTCTTCGAAAATATACGTGAGTTCCACGAAATGACTGGTTGTATTATAATTGCCTTTCATTTTCATATATTTATTTTTTTCTATTTCGGAACGATGTATATGCATTTAAAACATGCCTCTTAATCTCATGAAATGAAATAGTCATTATGAAAATTTAATGAAAAATTTATCAAAAATTGTTTTTGAAAACATATTTTGAACGGGGCGGTGGCGGTGCGGAACGTTATCAACGGGGCGGTGACGGTGCGACTTTTTTGCTGACTCGTCCATCTCTGATTTGGATAGTACATTAGTGCAAGAGAACAAAGAAATATATGAAATGATAGAGCATTTCAAGTGCTATCAGAATATATAATTACTTTTTCATCAAAACAATCATTCTACAGTGATGCAAAATCGAAAAAACTTAATTTGATTACAAAAACAAAATCATCTCTGTGGAAATCTGCATATGAGGTTGTCTTCATTATATCTAATTTATGTTGATCATTCAAAAGCAAAAATTAAAATACAAATATACAGGGTAGTATAGAGAATTTCACGCGCTTTCCAAATATGATATCAGTTTTTTTCAAAATATGCAGTTATAGTAACGATATACCCAAAATACGGTGTCTAATTTTTGCCTTCCATGGGTATATAAATTTTATTTTTGTACATACAGCACAAGAACGGAAATACCTGAAAAATCAAATTGTAAAAGAAAAATTCAGTGTGTCGATCGTACACGCTACTTTTTTCGACAACTTGTAAAACAGCGTGTAAATATTTTTTTAATTAGGGTACTGCACCCGTTGTTTTGCTGGGTACACTCATTCATTAAAAATACTGGCGTCGATAATGTGTCATATTGACATAAGGTTATATATTTTATGTTGGACCAGCACTGTAGTGTGGCGCCCCCAACTTTGTAAAACTAATTTAATAGGAAAAATAAAAACGAAGTTTGAAACAGAAAATTTGTTTTAAACTATTTTTGTCGTACTTTTATTGTCTGACGCTTCATAAAAATAAGATAGTGCATTTCAATATTCATGTAATGATTCATTGAGATGCGTTGTGGCAAGTTAAGGGATGAGTCATTCGATGAAGTTTAACAGCTAGAAATTTCCAAAGTGCACGTCGGAAGTAGAAAGTATATATTTTGAATCGCACAGTAAATATAGGTTTTGAAGATTTTCATCGACAAGTGTAATGAATGTCGATAACAAACTATTACCAAAATCACACAAGATATTTCGTTTCGGCTCTGGTCATGTATTGACGCTGACTGGAGAGCAAATCAACAAAATACCTTATCTAACTGCATTTGTCTCTTCTGGTGATTTCTTTGAAGCTGCACGTGATGATCAGGGATATTTCATCATTCATCCAAATATTGACATCAAGCAGTTTCGTTTCATTTTGGATTGGTTTCCATTCCATTCCACACGAGATATTTTTATTCGTCTACCTAAAGACTATGATGCAGTGTCAACCATTGTTCTCATGGATTATCTTGGTCTCCTCAATGATTCAGAACCATCTTTGGATGAAGTGGATTCATCTTTTTTCGATATTAACGTCTACAATCCTCTAACTAATTCATATACCGAAATAATTCGACCATCACAAATGAACGACATGGCTGTTCGATTTGCTATTGCTCTCATTAGAGAAGCGTATGATGTGACTGATAACAAAGTGCACGATCAAATCTATTGGTATGTGATGTTCATCATAAGTGCTCATGGATTATTTGATCGGATTATTCGGCATCATGTGTACAAGGTGGCTGAGCACTATTTTAGTTTATTCAAGCCATGCTTGATCAAACGTTTGAATAGACTTCGAAGTATTCAAAAGGAATATGTACAAATGAATCGATTAAAATCGAATGATCTATTTCTCGATTCGAAGCAGGCAGAAGAGACAAACTTAACCGCACTGATTGACACTCATATTCCCAACAAGTTATATTATTCTCCTTCTTTCTTATGGCTCACGTGTGGTTTCAGTTTCTATCGTCTTTTCGATGACGAAGACAATGATCTTTTCCCCCCAGAACGAGGAATTACAGAACGGAAACTTCTGGAACCATTGTACAAAGCTTTACTGGAAATTATCTATGATCGACTGCAAAATCAAATATGCCATTGTGTGCGACATGATGTGCGTGAAGCTCCTTTTTCTTCCCAATCATTGGATAAGTCTGAGGATGGCAGTCTGCAATTTTCACTGTTTTCTGATCGGTTTGAGTATTTTGGTTCATTTGAGAGACGAGAGGCCAGAAAAGAACGACGCATTGCTCGCAAAATTATAACACAACAAATGATTTGGGAGTTGCTTGCAAATGAAGTGTCAAAACAAGAAATACAACATCTGATCATGGACGGCTTATCTCACGTGAAGCCAAAATTAGAAAAGGAGTATCACCAATTAATTCATGAGATACAGGAATTTCTAGCGGAGCCGAGGACAGAGAATACGATTAATCACTGGCGCCCTTGGTCTTTGCTGTCACTGTCTTCTTTTACATTCGAGAGAAAGCCGACAGCAGTATTAACATACGAGCTGTTATTAGAGAAATTCAATCAACCATCAAGCTTTGTTGCAGAAATATGTGAACATTTGGTTACAAAGTTGAATGAAACGGTAGAGAATCAAGTCACCAAATGGATTCAAAACGTATATGCGGCATATGAACTTGGTCGAAGTATTTCAGGATACATTCCCAAACCTACTGAGTCTCCACTCTACAAGACATTGCGACGAGATCATCGAAAGCCCGTACACAAACCAACACCTGCAATACAACCAAAATTTTGTCGAAATTCCTTTCATTAAATTTGTCCAAAACGGTGAATATATTTTTGATATAGAATAAACTTGTACTGATGAGTGCGACTGTGAGTTTTTAATTTTATCCCCATTCGCCTACATTCAGACCCGATTTATTTCTTCAATATTATGAGATATTTTTTTTATAAATATTCTAGAATGTCTATTTATTATTCTCATTCTTTAATGTATTCTACGACAAAGCTGGTTTTAGCTAATTATACATAACTTATCACATTGGGTTCGAAATAAAAAAAAACAGATTTGATTACTGGAAAAACAGTTGAAAACATTTCAAACTAGTGGATTTTACAATGCTTATTCGAATTACATAAAAGATTATAGTACCCAAAAAGAAAATTGAAAATGTCATGCATATCCAATTTGTTTTATAGCTTGATATGCTCGTATGGATAGGTATCTGCTGTTTGTGAATGAAAAATGACCTAGTCTTCTTTAGAAGAAACAAAAAGTATTGCATTCTATTTTTAATTACTATAATTAATTATTGAGTAGAAGAAAATGGAAATTTTTATTTTTTGAAATTGAAGATAAATGACATCAATGATATTAGATGAACTATAAACACTTAGAGGAAAATATTTTCAACAATATCATTTATCATTATGGAACATTTTTGAATGATAACTTCATAAAAAGACGTAAAGAAATATTTTGTAATTAACCAAATATTTTCCACCTCTTTCTAACATTCATATAATACACGTTTAGAATTTATTTTGATTTTATTTTTCTAGTTTTTAACTACACAAAATTAAATAGATATAGAGGAAATAAGTTACTGTTTAACATTTATCCTATTCAGCTAAAAATCTTATAAAAAAAAGCTTATCATCAATAAAAATATTTGAATGTTTAGATCACATTTATTTTGTTCATTCTTTGCCATTATATTTTATACAAATAATGTTAAAAATGACTCATAATGTATGTCCAAGATTCATATTTTTATGATCACATAGAAAAAATTTGACAATGTACATCCTAATAGATTCTTCAATAATATTCATTGTTAATAATGATATCGATTTAGCATAGATCATTTTAGATAGATTGTTTAAATAAGAGTGGATGTGTCGGTATAGGAAGAGAATAATCCTACTCCCACTGAAAAGCTTTCTTAATAAAAAGTACCTATTCAGACATATTAAAAACTTTCTTCTTAATAATCTATCGAAAAAACATAATAAACTGATATAGATAAATCATGAATATTCGAGAGTTTTTTCAATTTTTATATTGAAATAAAAGAAAAACTAGCAATATGAATGTTTACTCTCATTTCTCCTACACTGATATTTATTTATGTATCTTTTAATCTTTTAAAATTTATGTAAAAATAGTTCAATTTTGAATTTCTTTCCGTTTATATAAATTATTATTCTATAATTTCGTTTGATCACATTTTAAGTTAGGCAAATTTCCACATGCATAATGACATCAACAAAAAAGTTCTTTTCCTATTGATATGTGCATCAGAATAACTATGTTCATAGGATGTAGAATGTTGCTATATGAAGAAGATATTTAGAATTTTGACTTTGATCTTTTAGAAGTAATAAACATCCGGATAATATATATGAATTAACTGCGATATAGAAGATATAATTAGATTTTTTTTAATGCAAAAGCAATAAAAAAGACCATTGTTGTGATATACGCTTCATGTTTTTTCACAAACATAAAATTTTATTCCACGAATAAGGAAAAAGTTGTCCATAACTTTGATTTGATTATAATTTTGCTAGATTTCCTCCTATGAGTGCAATCATGAAAGATAAGAAAAATCAACAAAGAAATACAGATAAACATATATTTTTTATGTTTGTTATCATAATTAATTTTCTTTCATAGACGTCTGTAAAGTGGGTGACAATCCTAAGATAACAAGTATAACGAAAAAAGTAACGAATAAAAATAGTCCTTATATTCCTTTCGACATGATTACATCTCATAAAGAGCTTTTTTCAACGTGCTATCTCTAGATTTCTATCAAGATGACAAGTTTGAATGAATAAGAATTATTTATTACCTTACATAGATTTCATTTTGCTATGGTTCTTGACACACGCTCACATACTGTCACAAATATCTAAGAGTATAGGTATGAACTTTTAGTAATAAAGAAGAGGAAACACATTCCTCACGTTTTATTTGAGTAACTTTAATGTACAGAATTGATGCTGGCACCGTGTTTTAGAAATTCTCATACTTGTTTAATCTTCATATCGAATACAGATTGATGGAAAAAAGAATTGTCGAATCATATGGAGTTATAATACTTTGTATGGCTAATATGCACAGTCAATCATTTCTGGTATCCTTTATTGATCATATCTTGAAAAGAAGGTGTGGGTATATATGTGACTATAGTACTGGTATCCATTCACACATCTTATTCGTCATATTTATAATCAGATAATTAATTCAGAAGAATGATATCTATCTATATAAAGAAGAATGTTTGTCTGTTTGTCTGTTTGTTCGTTATGCATTTCCACACCATACGAGCAAATACAACCAAACTTTCCAGGAATCTTCCTCACATCCACGAGAAGGTCAATGTCTACTTTTTTTTAAAAACAGTTGATCCTTCGCCTGGAAAAAGCCTCCCTATGTTGCTAACCAATCAGATTGCAGTATTCAGTACTATAGAACTACTACTGACCACCAC